GCAGTCATGAGTTACAGGGTAGGAGGTGGCTAGTTTGGAGTCTCCGTGGTGCCTGGTGGCCTCCCTCAGTCACCGGAGCAATGCCAGGCAGAGCGCTGGCACCCGCGGGAGTGATTTTAAAACTCAGGACTTCTATTTCTGAGCCAGGACAGTCAAAATGTAAAGCAGACCTGTGTCCAGGCTGGTGGTGCCTACTTGGCGTGGCCAGGTGTGGCTTTGTGTGAGGCACAATGGCTCACATGGCACTGGACCTGGGCATCCTGCCCCTTGTGCTGTGCTGGGTTTGTGCTCTTCCCAGCTTGGCTGGACTCTGGATTGCACAGTCTGTTGGGGGCAGCAAGAGATGCCACACAGATACTTTAGGTGGCATCTGAGAGTGATTTTTGAGGGTGTCCACAAACTGGGATGATCTGTTCCCCCTCCACCACAGTTCTAACAGCTGCTTCTTTCCCTTCGCCTCCAAAGGATATGTCTACCTGGTGTTTGAGTCGGAGAAGTCTGTGCGTGCGCTGCTCCAGGCGTGCTCCCAGGACATGCTGAGCCCTGATGGGTACAGTGAGTACTACTTCAAGATGTCCAGCCGCAGGATGCGCTGCAAAGAGGTGAGCAGAGCTGTGAGAGCAGCCCAGCGTGGCAGCAGGGGCTGGGGATGAGATCCTTGGAGACAAGGTGTTACTCTGCTCCAGGACAGCAGGGCTGGAACAGCAGCAGGAGAGGCACACTGGCTCCTGGCTGGCTGTAACTGGTGTGTTCCTGCAGTAGGGATGTGTCAGGACAGTGTTTGTGTCCTTCACAACAGCTTGTGCTGGAAACTGACCTGGAGCTCCTGGATGGGTGGAGACCCTGCCTTCAGCTTCAGTTATCTGGGAAGGAGCACGGGAACGGGGATTTTTCCACTCCATGCTGCTTTCAGCACACCTTTGCTTGCAGAGACAGACTGGGATCCCTCTGGTGTTTTGTCAAGCCTCCTCTGCTTGCTGAACAAATGGTTTTACAGCCTCATCAGGCAGTTATTTTGGATCCACAGCTTTTCCCCAGTGTGGCTTTGGCTAGCTGACCTGTGCTCTGGAGGTGCTGAGGTTGCTTTTGGCCTTCTAGGAGAGGGAGTGCCCTCAGATCAGGGACAACTGCTGGAGTTTAGCAAGTTACAGGATTGAAATCCAGGTCTTATCTAGACAGGCACAAACTAATTGTGCTCCAGGCAGCTCTCCTGGTGTCTGGCTATTGGCACTGCTTTTGAGCTCGGTGATTTAGCTCTGCCATAAGCTTCTCCTCTCCAGAGCTCTCCATCAGCTGCTGAGCAGATGGGAGCTCCTGCCGGAGCTGGCAGTCAGTGGGTTGTTCCAGTGATCCCCTCCAACAACAGGCTTCTGTGCTGGGAGGCATCTGACTGGGCTGTAAACATCAGTGTAGGTGTGTGGATTGTCTCCTGGCTGCCAGCCCCAAAGGACTGGTGGTTTGGATTACAGTTTGGCTGGAAGCAGAGTTGGTTTTGTGCTCTTGATGGGCCCTGTGGGCTCCCCGGAGCTGCGGTGCCCTGGATGTGGACCCTGAGCATCAAGAACAAGTGATGTTTTCAGCTCAGGGATGCAGTCCTGGGGTCTGGGATGGCTCCTGTCAGCTGAGGGCACAGTGTGTGGCTCTGCAGGCTCTTGGCTGACCTGATCCACCTGTGTGTGTGGTTCCAGGTGCAGGTGATCCCGTGGGTGTTGGCAGACAGCAACTTTGTGCGCAGCCCCTCGCAGCGACTCGACCCCAGCAAGACTGTGTTCGTGGGGGCTCTGCATGGGATGCTGAATGCAGAGGCCCTGTCATCTGTCATGTGTGACCTGTTTGGAGGAGTGGTCTACGCTGGCATCGACACGGACAAGCACAAGTATCCTATTGGTAAGTGGTGATTCCACCAGGGCAGGCTCTGAGGGAGGCTACAGCGGTGTCCTTGGCTTGTCCTTCAACTGGAGGACTGTCCAGATGCCAGTCTCTGGGAGCAGATGTCTGTCCCGCATCTCCCACAGACCATGCTCCTTGCCTTCTGGCTGTGGGGAGACAAGAGCAACCTTGGGGGGAGGTCTGCCAGAGCTGATGTGCCTGGGAAGTGGAAGGTCCTAGATCATTCCAGAATAGCTTGAGGTTTTTCAATATCCCTTTAAGAGGTATTTTAGCCCTTGTTTGGTGCTGTTAGTGGTCATTAGATGCTGCTGTAGCTGCTCGTCCATCCCCAGAGCTGAGGCAGCTGTGGGTTTCACCCACATTTGGGCTCTTGTCACTGGAGCTGAAATATCACACATGAAGACATGTCCCCTATACCTCCCTGGTGGCCTCATGGGCCAGGAGACAGCACTGAGGTGACTGGTCTGTATGGAAAAGCCCCATAGCCGTGTGCCTGAGGACCAGCCTTCCAGGCTCAGGCTGCAGCAGGTCACGTACAGGAGGGACTGAATCTCTTGGTGTTGCCAGGCAGGAACAGTGTCAGAGCTTGGTAGTGCAGAGCTGTCACTGTGTGTCACTGTCCTTGGACAGCAGTCAGACTTTTCTGGGCAAGGCTTGGATTTAGGACATGCCTGTGGTGCTGCAAATCCCAAGTGGCTTTAGGTGGACAGTCCCAAGGGAGTGGGAATGGGAGTGTGAGTCTTTAAGCAAATTTTTAGTGTGGCTGTGAATCAAGTCTTGCACATCAACCTCCCTGTGCTGGCACTGTGAGGTCCAGGGCAGGGCCCCAACCTCCTGTGGGTCCATGCAGAGCCCAGGTTGCTCCACATCACAGATTTGTCTCCCAACAGTTCACTGGCACTTCCACTCTTGGAGTTGTCCTAAACTCACAGCAATCCAAACTCAATTTTAGTAACAAAGCTATACCCCAAGCTGACTGTTTGTGCTGGCTGAGGCATCTCCTGTGGCCTTGAACCAGATCCAGGCACCCCTGCTTGTGTCCTGTGTGATGCTCCAGTGGGGAACGCCTGGGTTTGGGTGATGCTTTGTGCTGTGGCCAAGCTGTAGGGATCTGCCTTGTGTCACTCCTGTAACACCCAGTGCTCCCAGAACAGGAGCTCAAAGGGAAGTAATGATACATTTTCCTGGTGCTTAATAGAACTTGGCTGGAAGTGAGTGTGGGAATGCTGCTGACTGGCAATGAGGCTGCAAAACACAAGGCTCAGGGATGAGGGGGAGGCTGGAAATAAAAGCTGCTGAGCTGTCTCAGCACCGTGTATTTCAGGTGTATTTCACATGCAGGCATGGAGCCTGCTCTGCACTGCCTTCCCCTCCAGGCACTGCTGCTCCTCCAGGGAGTGCACTGCCTGGGGAGTGAGGCAGGCACAGCCCCCAGCCCTGGGTACCATCTCTGCCAAAGCTGCTTCCCTGGCAGTGGCTGAGCAGCACTAGGTAGGGAAGGAAGGGGTGGTACTGACAGCAGGTCTGTCCCAACCTCCACCAGTTCCTAACACGTGTGTGGCTTGTTGCAGGGTCAGGCCGTGTCACCTTCAACAACCAGCGCAGCTACCTGAAGGCAGTGACGGCTGCGTTCGTGGAGATCAAAACAACCAAGTTTACTAAGAAGGTGAGTGGGGCTGGTGGGGCAGGATCTGAGTGATGATACTGTGGGGAGCACTGTGGTCCATGGAGCCTGCCCTGTATTCCCTCTGGAGGGAAGTGAGAAGCTGCTACTCTGCCAGCCTTGAGGGGTGCTGGAGGTGGATTTGGGGTACCCAGGGAAGTGGGTGGTTGCCCCTGGAACTGCTCTGTGCTCACTGCCTGGTTCTCCTGCAGGTTCAGATTGACCCATACCTGGAGGATTCCATGTGCCAAGTCTGCAGTGCTCAGCCTGGCCCTTTCTTCTGCAGAGACCAGGTAAGGCTGGTTCTGCTGCCACCTGTGGCTCGGGGGTTTTGTCAAGGGAGGAGCAAGCTCTGCCACTCTCATGTTGGTGTCCGGGAATGCTGTGCTCCTTCCCGAGTGGGCAGGATGGGGCTGAGCCCGTGTTTTGGAGGAGGTGCAGCTTTGGTGCTCACCAGGAGGCACAGACAGCTCTCCAGCTTTCCTGGATTCAGAAATGCCACGGCTCTGCTGATGCTGTGCCAGTGCACTGGGGCCTGTTGTGGGATGGGGAGGGAGGGGAGGTCAGGGCTCTGTGAGCTGTGTCAAGCTGGAGTTGGAGTGCCAGCACCCCGGGGTCAGTCCTGGGGCTGCCCGAGGCATGGGGGACTCTGGCTGACCTCCCCTCACTGCAGGCAGAGGAGCTTGGCCACGGCTGCCTGCGGAGTCAGGACAGGAGCTGAGCAGCAGCAGGCTCTGCTGCAGGCAGGGACCAGTGTGAGCGTGGGCAGAGCCCAGCAGTTGCCCCAGTGCCCACGCTGAGATTTTCCAACCTCTTAAAAAAAAACCAAAAAACCACCCAAAACAAAACTCTGCTGACATTCCCTCCCTCCAGTCCAAGGATCTGTTGTGCTGGTGAGGGCTGCGAAAGGGCTGCAAACCCAGGCAGGAGGAGGAAGGAGAAGCCTCTGTGTCCCTTCCCTCGTGGCACTGCCTCTCTGCTCTCCCCACAGATCTGCTTCAAGTACTTCTGCCGCTCCTGCTGGCACTGGCAGCACT